AGCCTGTTTGGGGGTTCTTTATTTTGTTACAGTGGCCTATGTACATTTCTTCACGTTACTTTGGTGTTCCACAGCACAATGGGGTAACTATCATTAACAAGGATTTCTTACATATTAAAAAATAGCTAGAAGGTTTGAAATATTCCAGAACATAGAAATGACATGAGTTTGATATGACAGATAATCCTAATTACTCTGATTTGACCGTTATATATATTGTAGTCATGAATCAAAATATCATATTTACCCTATGAATATGTTCCATTATTATGTATAAATAACAAACACCATACTTTTTATTGCTGTAGATTTATAGTATGTTTTTAAATCAATAAATATGAGGCTTTACATTTATTCTTTTTTTTCCAAGATTGTTCTGATTATGTGGAGCCCTTTGGGATGCTGTGTGAATTGTAGCACTTTTTCAATTTCCATAGAAAATGTCATCGCTGTTTTAATGGGGATGGTATTAGCCTGTAAATTGCCTTGGTTAGTACGAATATTTTACCAAAATGAAGGCTCCAGATGTGTAACATGGGATGTCTTTCCATTTATTTTCATCTTTAATTTCTGTCCAGCATGTTTTGTAGTTTTCAGTGTATGAGAAAGTCTTTGCCTCTTTGGTTAAGTTTATTTCTAAGTATTTTTTTTTTCCTTTTTGATGTCATTTTAAATGGAATTGTATAGGTATGAATTCAATCCAGTTAAATCTGTTAAGTCTTGTTTTCTGACCTAACATGGGGTACACCCTGGTGAAAGTGCCAGGAGCACTTGAGAAAAATGTGTGTCCTTCTGCAATAGGGTGGAATATTCTGAACTGTCTCTCATATTCAGTTGGTGTATTTTGTGGCATTCGTCCCTGCTTCCTGTCTGAATATTCCAACCACCCACTGTTGAAAGTGACACCTTACACCACAATTGGGTTGCTGGGTTTCTTCCTCCTTTCAGGTCTATCAACATTTACAGAATGATATATTCCCTCCCTTGGTGTGGGCCTTCTCCCAACTACTCTGGGTTGTTCTCAGAGATGTCCACGTATCCCAACTATGCCAGTTCTGTCACAGGGTGCTCAGAAGGAGGTTAGACAGAAGTCAGTCCCTGGGGCACACTCTGAAAAGCCAGACAACAGGGTGCACGCTCCAGTCTTCTCTTCTCTTCTCCCAGGGCTGAGCACAGAGAGGCTGACGTGACTTACATGACGTTGGTCTTTCACCATCTCAATGTGGCTGTACTGGGCTTTGAGGTCACCCAAGGTAACTGCAACCTCAAGTAATTTCTGAAAAGTCATTAAGGTATTCATCTGGGTATCATTTTTAAACTGGTGTTTGCATGCAGGAGTATGGGCTGGGGCCACCATCTTGCTGATTTCATTCCTCCCAAATTCATATTTTATTTTATTAAAATGCATCTGTACTTCAAGTTTTGTCACATGTGCTGGGAGTACCATTGCAAATTATTGGTGATAATTATGACAACCACAAAACCTTTTGACTTTATCTTTTTGTTTTTTGACAGAGTCTCATTCTGTCACCCTGGGTAGAGTGCCATGGTGTCATTGCAACTCATAGCAACCTCAAACTCCTGGGCTGAAGAGATCCTCCTGCCTCAGCCTCCTGAGTAGCTGGAACTAACAGCACCTGCCACCATGCCTGTCTAGTTTTTCTATTTTTAGTAGACATGGGGTCTTGTTCTTGCTCAGGCTGGTCTTGAATTCTCAAGGGATCCACCTGCCTAGGCCTCTGAAGTGCTGGGATTACAGACATGAGCCACAGCACCCAGCCAGCTTTGCCTTTTCAATATTTCAACAGATTAATTGAAATAGAAATATTGAAATATTCTTCAGGGAAGAATACCTTTCTATGAATACCTGGCAGCAAATATTACAATACACTGGCCTAGTTGTGTGTTAATTTCCTATAGTTTCCCTAACAAATTGTCACAAACTCTGTGCCTTAAAACAACATACCAGGGACCACCTCAATGGTTTATCTCACAAGAGTACAAGTGAATCTTTCTAAAAGTAGAATATAAACGTCTTAACACAATAACTGAGAAAATTACATGAAGGCTACGTTAACCAGTTTGATGAAAATATTTCAAATTGTATATGAAAACACTGCACTGTACCCCATGATTGCATTAATGTACACAGCTATGATTTAATACTAATTTAAAAAATGGCTTTTCCTTTCTTATTGTTGTGGAAATCAGAAGTTTGAACTCACTTTCACTGGGTTAAAATCAATGGGCAGTGCCTCATTCCTTCAGCAACTCTAAGGCAAAGTTTCTTTGCACTTTTCTGCCTCTACCAAGGAAAGCATTTTCTGCTTTTCTTGGCTGGTGACAAGGCCAGCAGGTGGCATCTTATTTCAGTAGTCACCTTGGTTTCTATGGTCACATAGCTCTCTGCTTCTCCCCTTTTAGGACACTTGTGTTGGGACTTAGGACACATCTCTATGATCCAATAGGACCTCCTCACCTCAAAATGCTGAACTTAATCACAAACTCAAAGTCTATTTTACCATATAAAGTAAATATACAGGTTGTGTGTGGATACTGCTGGGGGTCATCACTCGGCCTGCCACAAGCTACAGATCTTATTGAAGTTGAACACTAACGTATTGACATTAAAATATTCTCCCTGAAGTTTTTGCTGTAACAATCGGAGGATGCATATATCCTAATAGTATGATCCAAAACCCATTATAAAATCTTAAATCATCAAAATATTTAAAAGATAATAAATAGGACTTCTCTGATTGACTTGATTGCCTCTGATTTATCACACAAGTATTCTTTTATCAATGGGTAAATATGAACTTAATAGAACAAAGAACTTCAAATGTCATGCTAATAAATGAAACTCTTATCTACATAAATATTAATTTTTATCACTGCTATGTCAACATGATGCATAGCTGATGATAAAATCACTGCTTCCAAGTCCAGTAAGGCTCAGATAGAGAATCATCAGAATTTCTACCTTTACTTCACTACTCTGGCTTTCCAAAGCGACAATCCACGTTACCCTACTTCTTTAGGGGCTAATGCCAGTACTTTGCCTCCTTTGTAAATGCAAACTTTCAAATCTGGGAACGTTTATATGCCAAACAGTTTCACTGCTTGTAAAAGCAATGTATATTCATTGTAGAGATCATTTTTAGAAAAGCAAAACAAAAAACACAGATTACTC